TCGTCTCTCTGTGGGTTCCCTGTGTCCAGTTTATACAACAGTCCAGGCAAGAACAGTTTCTTGCCCAAATGGCTAACCAACTCCATAAGGAGCCTCTTCGATGCCCATCTTCCTCTTGAAGTAGATTGGTACTGCCAGGAGCAGACGTGTCTCATTGTCATGAAAAGTCCTAAGTTATTAAAACATTAAATGCCATGTTCTGTAGTCTTTGGAAGATATGAATGTCTATCTGAAATATATCTACGCACTTCTAGAAAATCAGACTAACGTTACTACAAGCTAGTATTATCCATTAACAACCTATATTTTTAATTATACATTGCATTTTTAAATAAACTACACAATCACAATACCTCAATCAAGATCAGAAACATATATACAAAATTGACCTTAAAATCCATAACAAAGCAAATTATTCATATCTATATCATATCCCCCTTTAAATGTAAAAGAACATTTATAAACAATATTTGGGAATATGGACGTAGTTATTTCTCTCCAAACTTCTTCCTGCTGTATAGGGGCGCAGTTAATCAGGTCTTTCATGGTATAACCTGTCTGCCAGGTTCATCTCAGTCGGCAGTTGAGTGAAGAAATTTTTTGAGGGTGTTTACAGAAACCTTTCAGGAGGGCGTGGTCTATCATACCATATTGGGATAGAAGCAATCAACAGGGTCTCATCCTCTGTGAAAACAAAAGAAGAACCTCCTTTCCAAAGTATCATATCCTTAGATCCAAATTCAGAAGTCAAGGTATTTTCAACATATCTATCTTGGATTAGTTCAGCAGCATTTATAAACAAATATCTTTTAGCAGCTGTTGCTCCTTCCTCAGCATTCAAACAATTCAAAGAGAGCAAAATAGCATACAGTAACAAGATTCTCTGTGTATTTTCCATCTTTATGCAGCTTTATTTTAACCTCTATTTCTTTTATTTTTACTTTTACTTTTAGAGACAGGTTCTCTGTATATCTTTGTCCTGGAATAACTCTGTAGACCAGGCTGTCCTTGAACTCACAGAGATCTGCCTGTCTCTACCTCCCAGGCATTGGGATTAAAGGTGTGTACTACCACACCTTGAAGTCACAGAGGTCAATCTACCTCTGCCCCTTGAAGTCACAAAGGTCAATATACCTTTGCCTCCCAGGCATTGGGATTAAAGGTGTGTACTACCACACCTTGAGGTGACAGAGGTCAATCTACCTCTGCTTCCCAAGTGTTGGGATTAAAGGTGTGTACCACCACATCCACCTACTTTCTTTCTTCCTCTTTTACCCTAAGAACTTTAACCTTTAGCCTGCATATATTTTTAACACATAGTAAACCATTTAGAGGTTTTCTTTGTCTTTGAACCTCTCTTTACTGTATCTCTCTCTCTTTTTTATGACCACATGAGTCTAAAACCGTGGCTTTGACGGTTAGACCCAGTCCATTTTTTAGCTTTCCAGACTCATATTAGAGGTACCATTGGAGCCTTTTACTGCCACAACTCTATGGCGTTTCAAGGTCCCTGCCAGCAAACAAGCTGGAGCATTCTGCTCACAGACCACACTCAGTCGGACTGCCTGCCTGAAAGAGTCAGAGTTTGCCCTGGCAGGACGGCCCAGAAAACCGGCATTTTAAAACAGCGCAGCGTTTTTCCTGCTACGACTGAAAACCGAAAAGCATGCGTTCAGCTTTTCATCAATACCATTTAAGTGTTTCGCGGCAGGACCTCTTAATGAAGCTACAAAGTTTTGCAGCTAAAGCTGAGTCAGGAAGCCTCTCTTAGATGAGAGCATTTGCTTGTCTCTAGCAAGCAGAGCAGACCCGAGAAATTGCTGCCACCAAGAAAACATGCTTTACTCTATTCTTTTCCAAACTTTCTCAGGCTTTCTGTGGATGCAGTTATCCACGTGGGCGCCATCTGTAGTGAGGGGTTGTAGGCAGGCCTGCTTTTCATCCCGCCCGGTTCCTGCACAGCTAGCTTAGTCCCAGAAATAACAACACACAAATTGTATTCATTTAAGCACTGCCTGGCCCATTATCTCTAGAGAGTTAGTTACTGACTAACTCTCATATCTTGATATTAACCCATTTCTAATAATCTGTATCACACCACGAGGTGTGGCTTACCGGGAAAGATTCAGCATGTCTGACCTGGTGGCTGGCTCCATGGCATCTGCCTCATTGCTCTCTTCCCAGCATTTTGTTCTGTTTACTCCGCCTACCTAATTTTCTGTCCTATCAAGGGGCCAAGGCAGTCTCTTTATTGACCAATGAAAATAACACAATAGACAGATAACCCTCTTCCATCAAGTTCATATATCATTTCTAAAACCAAGTTTTCTTTAAAATTATACATAAACACACAACACATACATAGACATAGACATATATAGTGGATTTGCTATGTTAATAGAAAGAATCTAAAAGTTTTTAATATTTATGTTCTGAAAAAATATAAATTTTTCTTATCCATCTCTGTTTCCATTTTTTCCCTAGAATATAGGAATAGCTCAGTGGGAAATTTGTGGATCTCTGTAGCCTTTCTGGTAGGAGTTCATAATGTTACTTATGCCAACAGTAGGTCTAACCTAGAAAACGAGAAAGGTACTGTCTATAATCATGGTATTTTTAGATCAGTCCTCATAAAGAAAATTATAAGACCACAGACTCACTTCAAAAAATTTATAGGTCACTGGTTGAAAATATCTTATTATATATTTGATAATATCAATAAACTTCTGAAAAGTAAAAGAGAATAAATTAGAATCCTTACAGCACAGAGTTTTGGGGTTTTGCTGCCCTTTGCTGTTGATTGTTCCCCTCAGAAATTTTGTGAATCTAAACGTAGTAGTGACCTTGCCAAGGAAGGCAGCACAAACAGTGGCTCAAACTCACTTTGGGTCCAGCCAGAAACTCTGCCTCACAGCAATTTGGCCAAAATTCTGTGAGATTTCAGTGCTGATGAGATTTAAAGACTCAGTCTGAGACAAGAACTCTGGATGGAATCATTGCCATTCTGTACAGGAAGATGGGGAGAAGTCCCATGTGTCCTCTCATCCACCCAAATCCATCTGTGTTTCTCTCATAACACTACAAACAGGCATCTAAAATAATAATACAGTAAAACAAAATAAGATACAGTAAAAACCAACAAACCAAAACAGGACAAAACACACAAGGAGAAGAAAAAATAAAAGAAGCACATGTAGATGAAGTCACTCACACACAGCCCTGGGACCCCATCTGGCCCTGACCTGTGCAGGCCCTTTGCTTGATACCACAGTCTCTATGGGTTCCTATGTGCACTGGTTCTGCTGTGTACAGAAGACTCTGTTGTTTCCCAGTGTCCTCCATCCTCTGTGGCTCTTACACTCTTTCCGCCTCCTCTCCTGCACAGTTCTCTGAGGCCTGAGGGGAATATGATTTGATGTACAAGGATTTGAGTATAGAATTGTCTTTCTCTGAGTATGTGCTTGGAGGTATAATAGAGTGGTGTGTGTGTGTGTGTGCACATGTGCCTGTGTGTGTGTTAGTGAAATAGTGCATGGAAGTGACAGTGTACAATGAACAAGTGTATAAGTATTCTGAGTGAAAATGTCAGTGCAGTAGCTGTGCCAAATGTAAGGAGTTTGTGACCCCGTGCAAGAATGTGTGTTTGTGAGCCCAGAATGAAGTGTGCTGTGCTTGAGAGAAGAGTATGCAAGAGTGGCTGAGTTCACATGAGTGTCAGTGTCAGTATGTATAATGAGTGTGTGTTTTGTAGTGTATAAGAGTAGTATCATGACCAATTCACAATTTGTTGCTGTGATAGACATCATAACCAAAGCAACTTGGGAAGGAAATGTTTGTTTTAGCTCACAGGTTAATTTGCCAGTGAGGGAAGCCAAGGGAGGAACACAAAGCAGGACCTGGAAGCAGAAACCGTGGAGTAAGGAGATCACTGGCTTGCTTCCTCTGGCTCGCTTCTCCTGGTGTGCTCAGCTACCTTTCTTACATAGACCAGGCCCATGTGCTTAGAACAGCACTGTGCACAGTGGGTTGGTCCCTCCTTCCCTGACAGTAACTAAGAAAATGCCTCACAGATGTGCCCACAGTCCAAACTGACAGAAACAGCTCCTCCATTGAGATTTCTTTTTCTCAGTTAACATCTAGGTTTGCAGTAAGCTGACAAAAACCAACTAGCACAGAGTGTGTAAGTATGTGCAATGATGTATGAAGAATGTGTAAAGGTATGACTGTGTGATTGTGTATATACATGGCAATGTTACATATCTGAATTCATTCTATGTCAAATGATTAAAGGCACACACCACTCCATTTTACTTTCAAGCACATACCCTACACTCAAACCCATGTACACCAAATCATACTTGTACAAGCACAAACTCAGTGACTCGCTGAGTTCATCTCTGATCATTGTGTGTGTCCACCCATCTGCACAAACAGGTGCCACTATCCAGCCAGCCACATTACCTGGAAATTACAACATCAAACTGTGTCATCATGCCACACCCCCTGCCGAGTGGGAAAAATCTCTCTACCACCAGGGAAATGCACATGTGCAATACAAAACCCCACTGAGCATAGGAACCAAGAGCAGTTGGCCACAATGGCACGTGCGTGTAATGATGAGGTCAGCTCCCCTTTAGGCCTAAATTTATGCATTCCAGGGCCAAGGGATGTGTCTGTGCATAAAAGCAAAAGTTGTTTAGGGACCCTCGGCAGAGGAGATAATTACATGCAATCATGAATCCCCTCACCCAACAGGCATTTACTAAGAACCCAGAATGCCAGGCATGGTTCTCTGAGTGCCGCTTTCACCACACTATCTCCACGCCTATCACACTGTCCTGAGCACTCTAAGCAGCTCAGTACCAGCCAATCAATCAACTCTCAAACAACCTTCTGGAACCCACTCTTATGGTGGAACTGCCTGTGTGGGACCTGCAAGGACCCTGCATGGAAGCAGGTGGACGGTAGGAGGCGCTGTGCAGCTTGGGCCCATCCCTCACCTTTTTTTTTCAGGCGGCAGGAACTGTTGCAGTCTGTGAGGTTGGACTCTGTCTGGACAGCCACAGGACTGGAGTCAGCGACACTGCAGAAGCTGGCCCTTTGGTGGAAGAAGGTGCTGGGAACAAAGGAGCTGTACAAGGCTGCACTGGCTGCTGGTGCTCTCTTCGACCCCGATGTGTTCAAGTGAGAAGGCGAGGGTCAGGGTTTGAGCTCACACTCCTGCCAGATAAGCCTGCTTCAGGACCCCTTTGGCCCCCATCTGCTGTTCTGAAAACTCCCGAGTCTCTGTATGGGATTTCAGCTCGGTGGCCCAGCTGGCCCAGCTCATGGAGCTGGTCTGCCTTGAGGCTCTCAGGTTTCTCTAAGTATGGCCTTTGTTTCCCCAGGATTATGGTGGATTTGCTGAATCTGATGTGGCTCTGCTCCGTGTCTTTCAGATGCTGAAGGCCATATGTGATCAACAGTCACTGACTGAGGACTCTGTGACCAGGAATCCAATCAGGAATTGGACGTTAGAGGTGTGTCTAGTGCTTCCGGTGGAGGGTGGCGGGGTGGGGGAGGGGTGAAGAACCACAGGCTGGCTTGGCTCTAAATGGATCAGCCTGTCTATGCGTTTCCTCCCAGGGTCTGCCGACCAATTCAACTTCCAGAGACCTTAGTTGGCTCTACCATTGGGATCACACTGCTGGATCGCATACTGGTCCAAGCAGGCGAGGGTCCTTCTGTCTGACTCCTTCCCACCTCTTCAGCATGCCTCCATTCTACAAAAAAAGGAATAAGTGTGACTTTGGTCTCCATCTACCTGACAATCACAGCCTCAGGGAAGCACTCAGAGAACAGGGCAGACAATTCCTTATCTATCCTCCCCAGGCCCAGGTCTAGCTCCCCTTTATGTCAGGCCAGGACTGCAAACCTCCTATTTGGAGATTGTTTGGGTTGCAGGACTGTAGCCATCTCACTGCCTTGGGACACAGAGTAGAAGTCTGACAGGAAGATGGAGCCATTGGTCAGGTGTGAAGGGCTCCCCTGCTCTTGTGGCCATGTCTGGGTTGGTGAATAAGCAGATGGTGGTAGCCAGAGTATAACAGAGGGATCTCAGGTCCTTGCACCTATACATCCTATCTGGTGCATCTGTTCTCTTTGGCTGTGGGAACACTTTGAAATACAACTTGCCTTCCCAAGCAAGTGAATAGAGATCTAATGCTTTATCCCTGCTGGAAAGCACAGGAAGAATCTGGAAGGCACCCAAAGAGGGTAAGGTGCTGACATGGCCCAGTAAAGTATGACTGTCAGGCCTGGGACCCACACATGCTCACTGTCCTGCCCCTTTTCCTGCTTTATCTTTTATCATAACTAAGGAAAACTATAATTATAAATTTTTCAACTCCATCAAAGACTCCAGAAGGATATATTACCTAAGTAAACAGGAAGTGCATTATAAACAATTTCCAAAACTCTAAATTGACAGAGACATCTTGCTACCTGGTCATTTACCCAAAGTTCTTCTGTACTGTTGGGGCATCCATCTTCAGCCTACAGGCCCATAGTATCCAGCAGACTTTTCCGTGAAGCTGGAAATTTCAAAGACAGTTCAGTCACTTTTTTCCTGTATCCTGCAGAATGCTTTGCACACTCTTTCATGAAGCAGGAAGCCCACAGGATCATCTCACCTTTAGGCAAGTTCAGCAGTCATTTCTCTGTGGGTCCTGCATGTCCAGTGAAGCAGTCCAGGCAAGAGCAGTTCTTGCCTCAATGGCTAAGGAGGCCTTTTGTTGCCCATCTTCCTCTCGAAGTAGCTTGGTTCTTGGCAGGCAGATTCCTAAATATGGTGTCTATTTTATTTTCTCTCATATCAAGCCTCAAGTATCATCATAAATAGAGGGCAGAATGATGGTCAAAGGCATAACATATTTGGTACGAAGTCAACAACACATTTTCTATACACAATACAGCAGTTGAAGCTATGAACTCTGAACAGCTGTTACATTATATCCATTGATGGGCCCTTCCCAGTCACTGATGGAGGCAGACAGAAAGTCCCAGGCCTAACTGAGGCTGTGTAGGCCATTGATAACTGCCACAATGTTGAGATTCTGTTTTCAATAAGGGTGTGTCCTGTAGTAGAGTTGGACCATGTTGCAGGCAACCACTTCTACCCAAGGGCACACGGGAAACACACATTTGATTTAATATTGTTAGGTTTGAAGGCAGTGATTCTCAATATTTGTGTTGTCTAATATCCTTTCTGCAACCCAGTTTACAATATTTGGTTTGTACATTTTTGCTCCTTCTACAAACAACTCTCCAAGACGCTATACTAAAATATAGATTTCCGTTTTTACGAATTGAGTGAAACCCTCATTCATCAATTTCTCCTCCATCCTTGCTTTCACTATGAACTCTTGCCTTTCCTTCCGTTTGCAGTGTTACATTTGGGTCAAATATTACAGCAGCACTCAATGTTTAGGGCACAGGTATCTGTAGAATAAACACAGTTGGTGTAGGAGGTTCTTCAGTATTTGTGCTGCTTTCCTTGGTGAATAAAGAAACTGCCTTGGCCTTTTGATAGGGCAGAAATCAGGTAGGTGAAGTAGACAGAACAGATGCTGGGAAGAAGGGCAGTGTGGTAGATGTCATGAAACTCTAGTCTGAGACAGACGCTGGTTAGGATCTTTCCTGGTAAGCCACGACCTCATGGTGAAACAGATTAATAGAAATGGATTAGATCAAGATGTGAGAGTTAGCCCAGAAGAGGCTAGATATAATGGGCCAGGCAGTAATTTAATTAATACAACTTTTGTGTGGTCATTTTGGGTGTTAAGCTAGCTGGGCAGAGGGATGCAGCCCACTCCTCATGCAACACACAGTAACAGTAACTTGTCCTGCAGGGCAATCAGCAGCTGATGCACACTTGAGAACTGAGGGTGTTTGGGTAAATGTAGCTAAAAATGGCTGCTAACGTGTCACCACGGATGAAAGGTTTTTAGGATTTCTCTGGAGATCTGTGGCATGAAGCTGTTACAAACCTTAATATCAAGAAAAGATCTTAACAAATTAATGCATGCTATTTAATCAATATGATTGCAGTCTGTGCTTTTTCTCTATACCTATTTTCCTGTTGACTAGACTTAAAATTGTGTCAATAATACAAAAACCAAAATCAGCCAGGTGTTTTGGCTCATGCCTGTATTTCCAGAACATGGAATTCTGAGGCAGAGAGTAGAAAAATTTTAAAACTTTCCTGGAAAACGTAGTAACATCTTGTTCCAAACAAACGAGCTAAAATTGTTACAAATGAAGCAGACACAGGCTGCTTACTTTTTGTCCTGTGTACTCCTTGCAACCTAACAAGGACAATAAGTACTTCATAAGAAAAATCATATTATCCAGTATCACTTTATTCAACAACTTTATGAATTAGATTATAATGCCTGCTTAGATGTGGTTCAGGGACAAAATAGAAGCAGGTTCTAAGTACCATTATGTATCTTTCTATCTTGTATCAGTCTGTGTCTCTCCCAGTATATCTGTCTGTCTGTCTATCTATTCATTAATAACAATGATTAACAACAACAAAGCAATTCATGAATCTAAAGAGAACGAAGAGTAGTTTTTGGCTTTAGAGGAGGGAAAGGGAAGGTAGTTATAATTATATTTTAATATCAAGATGAAATCAAACAACACACATCTAAGAGAAGACAAATTCCTGAGGATACCCTTTCTGCAGTGCCACAGGAACAATGTCTGTGTTTATCACAGTGATATCAATTAATAAACCAAAACACTTTGTTGTAGACAAATTATTCTGAGAGGTATTTTGTAATGATCTGACTATTATGCCAAGAATGTATTATGAAAAATTCAATAAATTAAGGGCATGCTTTTTATTCAGAAAATATTTGAAGAGTATGATTATTATCTGCTTTCATTTTGTGATGAGCAAAGGGCCTGGTGTGAACAGATGTACAATAAACATCCATCATAGAACAAGGCCATGGCTGGATTTTAGCATTTGAGAACCAAGTGTAAAGAGAACATGAACACTAATTTGGTAAATGGAATTTGTTAACATTTTCATTTTTACATCCTGGAGAATAAAAAAAAATTTTGAGGGTTTTTTTTTTGTAATGCAGAAAACTTCACATTGTTCTCTTAAAGTAACAGACATTGTACATGCTGAGGAAGGAGCAATAGCTGTTAAAAGATATTTGCTTATAAATGCTACAGAATTAATCCAAGATAGGTATTTTGAAAATACCTTGGCTTCAAAATTGAAGTCAAAAGATATGTTACTTTGGAGAAGAGATTTTGCTTTTGTTTCCACAGGAAACGAGAGGCTCTGGATTTATTCTGAGTTAATAAAAATCCAATTTGACCAAGGGAGACCACATGAGAAATCTCCAGCAGGAATAGATGGCCCAGATGTCTGAGTTCTTCATCTAGAACAGGTTCAAGACTGCTGCCTGAGATGATCAAGACTCACAGGATACTTCAGTTAGGACTTGATCATAATTCTAAATTTTCTTTAGGTCCCCATAAGATTATCAGTGCCCCCAACCAGCAGGAAGTAGCCTGAAATACTATGCCCACATTCCCCAAAAATGGACTATGGATATTTTCTTTTCTTTTCTTTTCTTTTTTTCTTTAAAGAGGGGGAAGTGGTGCAGGAGAATTGTCTGTATTCTGTCAATCATGTTTTAAATAAACGCTGATTGGCCAGGCAGAAGGTGTAGGTGGGAAAACCAGACAAGAAATGGAAATGATACAAGGAGAGCAGGAGTATTCTGGGAAGGAGGAAGCTGATTCATCCCACTCCTGCCCAGATCACCGCAGCAGCAGGATGTGATCTGCCAGCTAAAAAAGGTACTGAGCCACATAGCTAACATAGATCAGAAAAATGGGTTAATCAAGATGTGAGAGTTAGCCAGTGAGAGGCTAGAGCTAATGGGCCAATCAGCTTACAATTTATAGAGATTTCTGTGTGATTTTCTTTTGGGGCTAAACAGCTGTGGGGTACTGGGTGGGACAGAAACACAAACAAGCCTGGCCCCTCAAGTTACAAAGCTTTTAGTTTATATAGCATACAGACAATTTAGCAAGGCAGTATTCCTAGGCAGTAACAATAGTATCAAGCATGCATTTTCATAGAAAAACAAACAAAAACCCAGTGGGTCTGACAAACATCTGCTTTATGTCTCAGAGCGGGTGTGCCTGTGAAGCTCCCTGGTGGCTGGGAACACAGGGTTGGTTGCTATATTAAGGGCCTAGGAGGAAGGCAAGGTTCCTGTAGTTGGTTGAGTTAAAAGAAATCTCTTTTGGGGACTTTGCTTTGATTCCAGCAGGATACCCAAGTGGAAGGTTTTTTTCTCTGAAGCTAGTTTTAACATCTCATGCCTTTTCCCTGTATAAACAGTTAATTTCTTGGGCTATGAGATTATGTTAAATGAAACCAAGGTAAAGGGTAAATACAGAATATTAGTAATTTGTTAAGTTGGAGCAGAAGCCCAGTTTA